TAGTAGTAGTAGTAGTAGTAGTAGTAGTAGTAGTAGTAGTCGTAGTAGTAGTAGTAGTAGTAGTAGTAGTAGTAGTAGTAGTAGTAGTAGTAGTAGTAGTAGTAGTAGTAGTAGTATGTAGTAGTAGTAGTAGTAGTAGTAGTAGTAGTAGTAGTAGTAGTAGTAGTAGTAGTAGTAGTAGTAGTAGTAGTAGTAGTAGTAGTAGTAGTATAGTAGTAGTAGTAGTAGTAGTAGTAGTAGTAGTAGTAGTAGTAGTAGTAGTAGTAGTAGTAGTAGTAGTAGTAGTAGTAGTAGTAGTAGTAGTAGTACCAGTAGTAGTAGTAGTAGTAGTAGTAGTAGTAGTAGTAGTAGTAGTAGTAGTAGTAGTAGTAGTAGTAGTAGTAGTAGTAGTAGTAGTAGTAGTAGTAGTAGTAGTAGTAGTAGTAGTAGTAGTAGTAGTAGTAGTAGTAGTAGTAGTAGTCGTAGTAGTAGTAGTAGTAGTAGTAGTAGTAGTAGTAGTAGTAGTAGTAGTAGTAGTAGTAGTAGTAGTAGTAGTAGTAGTAGTAGTAGTCGTGGTAGTCGTAATAGCATTCGTAGTAATCATTATCTTGCGCAGTTGTGCTCTAGAGCTCGGACCTCTCCATTTTCGTTCGTCGTCGTCCCTCTGGTCCTGGCCCTGGACCCTGCCTCCTCCCCTGGCTCTGGCCCCCCGCTGGCCCTTGCCCTGGACCCAGCCTCCCTCCCCCGGCCCTGGCCCCAGTCCCCCTCGCCCTGGACTCTTTATTTTCGTTCGTCGTTGTCCCTGGTCCGGTCCTGGCCCTGGACCCAACCTCCCCCTCTGGTGTTGGCCCCAGCCCCCCTCGCCCCGCTGGCCCTTGCCGTGGATCCAGCCTCCGCCCCCCCGGCCCTGGCCCCAGTCCCCTTCTCCCTGGACCCTTTACTTTCGTTCGTCGTCGTCCCTCTGGTCCTGGCCCTGGACCCTGCCTCCTCCCCTGGCCCTGGCTCCCCGCTGGCCCTGGCCCTGGACCCAGCCTCCCCCCCCCCGGCCCTGGCCCCAGTCCCCCTCTCCCTGGACCCTTTATTTTCGTTCGTCGTCGTCCCTGGTTCGGGCCTGGCCCTGGACCCAACCTCCCCCTCTGGTGTTGGCCCCAGCCCCCCTCGCCCCGCTGGCCCTGGCCCTGGACCCAGCCTCCCCTCTCCCAGCCCTGGCCCCAGTCCCCCTCTCCCTGGACCCTTTATTTTCGTTCGTCGTCGTCCCTCTGGTCCTGGCCCTGGACCCTTCCTCCTCCCCTGGCCCTGGCCCCCCGCTGGCCCTGGCCCTGGACCCGGCCTCCCCCCCGGCCCTGGCCCCAGTCCCCCTCGCCCTGGACCCTTTATTTTCGTTCGTCGTCGTCCCTCTGGTCCTGGCAGCTCCTTGGTGCAAGAGCCAGGGCACGCGTGCCACTTGTAATAGTCGTCGTCGTCTTCGTCGTCGTCGTCGTCGTCGTCGTCGTCGTCGTGTTCGTGTTCGTAGTCGTAGTCGTTGTCATAGTCGTAGAAGGGGTTGTGGATGGTGAAAGAAAGGCATCGTTAGACCGCCTGTGCCCAGAGGGCTGGTGGGACTGCGACAGGTTCTTGGCTAGGCATTCTTTCCAGTTCAGGTGCAGTTGCACGGGATAGCAGTTCCAAGGACTGCGTGCATTGAGGCCGATCGTGTTTCAAGAGCAGGCGACCATGTCGGCGCCACATACGCTTGTCTCAAAGCGTCAACTGGCCACGGGGATGGGCTGGTTCCATCCCGAACTCATTGTAATCTACCGTGCCGTTCGGCCAAATCTTGATCCGACCGTTGGTGCGAGCTGTAAACCTTCCAGGGCACCCTCCATGCCACTTCTGCCGTTGCCCCGCAGCAGCGCGACAGGGTTCTCATTCGTCCAGCCTTCCCGGGTCCCAACGCTCCGGCGCAGCAGCAGGAACATGACCACTCCAGCCCGCCCAAACCCCGAACTTGTGGCAGCCCAAGGAGCCCTCGCTTGTTCATCGGGCGCCTGCCGCGGTAGAGCGGGGTGCACCGGGTACGTCAAATCAGAAACTCGCCCGCCAGCAGGTTCCCGACGGAACCGGCCTTGGGGCCCATTGAGGCCTCGGGGCACCTCTGGAAATCGTAACCTCGACGAACATTTTTGTTTGGCTTATTTCTCTTCCGTATGGGAAGGTGTTTCTCATCGTATGTGTGTTTGCGAAGAGGGGGGCTTCTGATTTGAGCGTCGGCATAAATGAGGAACGCAGGGTTTACTCTGGCCTCTCCCTCTTCTTCCTCACCCTCTCCCTCCCCCACCTTTTGTCCATAATCATGTTTGCTCAACCGCTCCAGATCGCAGCATGCGCGAGTCTTCATGCCCTGGGAACAACCCTGGTGCTGGATTTGCGGGATCTGGATTTGACAACACGCACGGAACAGCCTCAGGAACCGACGTTGTCCATCAGCCATGGTGACCGTCTCCCAGAACTTCTTGGAGGAGGGATCCCGCCGCACAATGGTTGCTTTGTCGTGTGCCGTCTGGTTCGTGTTCGGCGGCTTTGTGCTCTTGGTCCGCGTGGTGAGTCTGGCGAGGCGCAAGTCGGTTTCATATTCGTTAGGTCGCTGTTTTGTCAGCTTGGTCGGACAGTGCAGGCGCTCCGTATTCTTGCTTTTCAGCACTCCCGGTGGCTCCGTCGCGGATGAGTTGCGGAAAAGACGCCTGGTCCGCGCCCACAGTTGGCTTCCATACGGCGTCCTGGTCGCTTCGATCGTTGTCCTGACGGTGTTCGTACGGGCCTTGAGCCCAGGCCCTCGCTTCAATTCGTCTGTGCAGGATGCCTTCATGATTGCGGGCTGTTTCATTGTTCTCTTTCTTGCGGCGTGCCCTAGCTTCGTGACGCTGAGCACCCTGAGCGTCTGGTCCTCCATTCTGGCAGCGTGCATTACGATGTGGATATCGCCATTCGCCATAGAACCAGCCCATGCGGCCGAGTCTTCCCTGATGCCTTTTGCGGCCATGATGGTGCTCTGCGTGTTTAATCTGAACGTGCGGCTTAATGTCTTTTGGTTGTTGGTCTTGACCGCATCGGCCTGCAGCTCGGTCCTGGGCGGCACCAGTGACTCACTCAAGGACTGCGACTTTGAAACTAAGCGCATGCGCTGCTTCATGCACATTGCCATTTCGGGCACGATGTTCACAGCATGTGTCATCTGCTTATACAGGCACATCTACCTTGCCGCGCAGTACGAGATGGAGGCCCGTATCTCGCGGAACGAACTGCAAGCCGCGCGCTCGGTGCTGCGAGGCGTCTGCGACGCGGTGGTGGAGCTCGACGGCGACTTCCGTCTGCAGGACGGGTCCCCCCAGCTCATCGACCTGCTCCTGCTGAACTCGCAGCGGTCCCTCTTGGGCGAGGACTTCAGGTCGTTCCTAGCGTCCGAGCAGGACCGCCAGAAGTTCACCGAGCAGATGGGCCGATCCTGGAATCAGGGCGACGACGCGGGGCTCAGTGCGGCCTTCCACGTTTCCATGAAGGACAGCTCCAGCATACCCCTCGTCGTCGAGGTGTTCTCCGTGATCTTCGTGAACCGGGGTGGGCAAGTGGCGTACTTCGTCGGGATCCGAGAATTCACAGACATCAGCCCGATACTCACCATGGGCAGTGCGGCGGAGGTGCGTCACGGCAATTTTCACAGAGGCGCCGGCCCGGAGTCAGCTTCTTTGGCCAGAGCCCGAGCCACGCCAGCTTCGAACTCCATCCAAGACTCGTCGAACGTGAATTCCGACGCTCTCGAGTTCCTGAACGAGGCTGAGGCCGTAGGTTGGATTGACATCGCCACCGCGGGCTACACTGTGAGGCACGCCAGCCCCGTATTCGCTCAACATCTGGATGTCGGCAGTGACTTTCTGGACACGCTGAAGCCATACCCTCGGAGTGAATTTATAATCTGGGCCCAGCGGGCGTTGCTCGATCTCTTGGACCAGGGATCCGATGCTGCTCACAGGCAATACAGCGAGAAGCTCCACATGAAGTGCTCCGCCCGCGCGGCCACGAGCGGGAAGCGCCGGTCGCGGCGATTGGTCTCGGCTTTTGTGAGGCTCGACCTGACACCACCCCCCGACGGGCAGCGCCACGGCGCCGCCGTCATGCGCATCGTGCTCCAGGACCTCCGGGTCGACGCGGCGAGAGCGTCCAGTGCCGTGTCGAAGGGGACCCCGCGAGCCGCGCCCAGGGCCAGCCTGGAGCGCGCCCCCCCGGCCGCGCGCAGCTGCCCGGAGGCCGAGCCGGCCGCGGCCGAGGCGCCGCAGGGGTGTGCCGAGGCCGCGGCGGGCGCGGGCGAGGCGCGGCGCGGCGCCGGCGCGGGCGACGCGGCGTTGCCGCAGAGGCTGGGGCCGGAGAGCCTGTGAGGCGCGGGGCGCGCCTGCGAGGCGCGGCGTCGTGGGGTCGGCACGGCGGGGCGAGCTGGCCCGGCGAGGGGCCGAGGTCTGTGCAGCTGAATGCGCCAGGCCTGTCCCTCTGCAAAAATTCTAGACGCTTCGCGTATCCCCACCAGCCCGCCCAGAAACGACGCCCAGGCGAGTAGAGGGTCGTCCTGAGGGGCTTTTCGGCGTCTTGGGTGCCTCGGGGGGGCCTCTGTGGGCCGTTCGGGATCCCCTTTGGGGCCTCCTGGGGGCCTCTTGGGGCCTCTTGGGGCCATCTTGGGGCCTTTGGGGGCCTCCTGGGCGCTTCTTGGGGCCATCTTTGCCCCCTCAGGAGGCCAAAATGGGGCCAAAATCTCAGTAAAATCAATGATTTTGGCTTCCTCGCCGAGGCCGTTTTGGACGCTCTGACCGCTCGCGGCCCCCCCCGTCCAGGTCCACGGGGAGGGGGTAGGGGGAGGGGTAAACCCCTCCCCGAAGGGAAAGAGGGAGGGGTGGAAGAGGAAACGCCTTAAACCACCGACGCCCAGAGGGCTGGTGGGATTGCCTCGATCAGGGAAGTGGACAGCACACAGAGGAAGCCAGTATGAGACATCTTGGGATTTCTTGAGCCATCTTGGAGGTCATTTTGGGCTCTCCGAGGCGCTCTTGGAGTCATCTTAATCAGTGCCCCCCCCCAAGAGGCCAACATGTGGCTAAAACCTTAGTGCAAACAATGGTTTGACATTATCGCCGAGGCCTCTGGGAGCACCTTGGGTGCCTCTGGGGGGTCTCTTGGGGCCTCTTGGGGGTCTCTTGGGGGCCTCCTGGGGGCCTCTTGGGGTGCCTCTTGGGGCCATCTTGGGGCCATCCTGCGGCCTCTTGGGGCATCCTGGGGGCCTCTTGCGGCCATCGTGGAGGAAATCGATCAAAGAAGAGGGGAGCTTTAATTAGCGGTGCTCCCTCAGAAGGCCAAAATGGGGCCCAAACCATAGTAAAATCAATGATTTTGGCTTCCTCGCCGAGGCCGTTTTGGACGCTCTGACCGCTCCCCGCCCCTCCTGTCCAGGTCAGTGGGGAGGTGGTAGGGGGAGGGGTAAACCCCTCCCCGAAGGGGAAGAGGGAGGGGTGGAAGAGGAAACGCCCTAAACCACCGACGCCCAGAGGGCTGGTGGGATTCTGAGGTGCAAGCTCTCGGAGGTCCGCGCGGATTTCTTGGATCGGCGCTGGGCGCGCCAGGGAGGGGGGCGCGGCGCCGAACCAAGCATTCCGAGCGGCCTTCTGAAGAGTTATTGCTTGTGCCAGTGTTTGTTCCTCGACAGACACTCGGCGGCTCGAGGAGGTCGAGACGGCTGGTTTTTCACAGCGCCGTGACCCAAGGGGCCTCTTTTGGGACCCGGGGCCGTCGCAAAACGACCCGGGACGACACACTGGCCACAGAGTGGTGGAGAGGTCTGGGGGCCTATGTCTCGAGACGCCGGTTGTCTGGGCTCTGCGGCGACCCAGTGGGAGTCCTGCCCCTGTCGGTCCCATCGGCTCTGGGGTGTCGGGCGCCCTGTTCAGGGGTTTTGGGGGTGTCCAAGGTCCAAGAAGGGGGTGAGGACTAGAGGTGTTTGCGTGTGTGTGTGTGTGTGTGTTTCCCCTCCTCCTCGTGCATCGCGCCTTAATTCGCGTTCGTATGCCCTACCAGTGCCTTCCCGCCAGCGCAGTCACTCTGCCTAGCCGCCGACGCAGACAGTGTAAGTGTGTGTGTGTGTTTGTGTTTGCGTCCGGCCCTGGCCGCTGTGTCATGGAGATGCTGTTGAACAGTTGTGATTGATGGCATGTTGATGGCGACGGCGGTGGCCCTGTGGCGGTGGCAGTGGTGGGTGGTGGTGATGATGATGGTGTCGACGACGGCTATTGCGATGGCGTGAATGGCCGGCGGTCGAACCGCGGTGACGAGAGGGGGGTGTCCAAGCGCAAGTCGCGCAGTGCCAGTGATTCAGGGCCGCGACCAGGCGTGGCGGCGATGATGCCTTCCCCCTTGCTGTTCCCGCCTGCGAGCCCCGCGCGCCGCTCGAGCGGTGGGCGCGGGCCCGCGCTGTGGCGGCCGCTGCAGAGGGCGCGCCCCGGCGGGCACGGGCGCCCGGAGCAGCGAGAGCGAGAGCGGAGGGATCGGGGGCGACGGCGTGGGAGCCAAGTGCAGGGGGGCACGGCGACGAGGCGGGCAGGGCGGACGCACTTCGGCCCAGCGTGGAAGGGCAGCCGTCCTCCAGCGCGCACCCGCCGCCGTTCCCAGAGGGGCCGTGGAGGGTGAGGCCACCAGGGGTGCCAGCGACGATGCTTCTGCCACAGGGGGCGCGCGTTCCACGAGGGCGCCCGCTCGTTGGCCCATGTCCCTCCTGGCTGGCTCTGCTCTGCTGTCAGCCTCACGCTGTCCCGCCCTGTCGCCCTCCAGCGCCGGATTCGTCCCACTCTCTGCCCTGGTCGGGCTGTATTTTTGGCGACCTCCACCTTCTCGATTTGCCGTGTCTCATTCATCATGCGATTTTCTTGCCCCGCGTTCGACACTTGAGCTCAACTTGGCGCCACTCGCCCCCTTCCCCCCCTCACCCCCCTTTCCCCTCGCGGTTCCGCGCGAGTGACCCAGTTGATCCTTTATGGGCAAAACCCTGGTTCCCCCCGACGCGGGCGCTGGCCCGGCCGCGCGCTCGCTCCCCTCGACAGTCCACGTCGTGCCGCATCGCGCGTGGCCTTGTCGCCAAATTGTGTGTGTGTGCCTGTGACGCCCTCCTACTCCCCACCACCGCGTAGCAGGAAGCCGATCAGCAGGAGGACGATGAGGGGGAGGAGGGGATGCTGCTGCGCTGCTGCTGCTGATGATGATGATGATGACGATGGCGATGACGATGATGATGCTGCTGATGATGATGTTGATGATTATTTCGATGGTGATGGTTGTGGTGATGGTGATGGTGATGCTGCTACGGCTGCTGCTGCTGATGATGATTATGGTGATGGCTGATGCTAAAGGTGATGATGCTAATTAAGGGTGGTGATGCTGTTGCTGATTGTGACGATCATGGTGCTGATTTTGATGATGCTGTTGGTGCTGCTGTTGATCATGCTGATGATGATGAGGATGATGAGGATGATGATGCTGATGGGGATGATGGAAAGGATGATGACGATAATGACGGTGATGGCAATGGTGATTGTGATGGTGATGGTGATGATGGTGATGGTGATGATGATGATTATGATGATGGTGATGATGATAATGATTCGGATCATGATTATGACGGAAATGACGGTGATGACGATGATGCTGATGATGTTGATGGTGATGGTGGTGGTGATGATGATGGTGATGATGAGGATGATGATGACGGTGCTGCTGATGATGATGGTGTTGGTGGTGATGCTGATGCTGATGATGATGATGATGACGGTGATGATGATCGTGGTATCACTTATGATGCTGATGATGATGACGATGATGCAGGTGCTCCTGCTCGTGCTGATGCTGATGCTAATGGTGCTGCTGCTGCTGCTGATATTGATGATGCTGATGATGCTGATGATGCTGATGATGCTGATGATGCTGATGATGATGCTGCTGCTGATGCTAGTGACAGTAATGCTGATGATGCTTATGATGGTGCTGATGATGATGCTGATGATGCTGATGATGATGCTGATGATGCTGATGCTGATGCTGATGATGAGGATGATGATAATGCTGATGCTGATGGTGGTTTGGTGTTGATGGTGATGATGATGATGATTATGATGATGGTGATGATGACGATGCTGATGATGATGATGATGATGGTGGTGGTGGTGATGCTGATGATGGTGATGATGATGATGATGGTGATGGTGATTGTGATGATGATGAGGATGATGATGACGATGCTGATGATGATGCTGATTGTGATGATGATGAGGATGATGACGACGATGATGATGCTGATGATGGTGATGATGATGCTGATGATGCCCATGATGCTGCGCTGATGATGATGGTGCTGCTGCTGATGATGAGGATTATGATGATGCTCATGATGATGCTGATGATGATGCTGATGATGCTGCTGATGAGGATGATGATGATGATGATGATGATGATGATGATGATGATGATGATGATGATGCTGATGATGCTGATGCCCATGATGATGATGATGATGATGATGATGATGATGATGATGATGCTGATGATGCTGATGCCCATGATGTGGTGGTGTGATGATGACGATGAGAAGAGGAGGAGGAGGAGGACGAGGAGGAAGAGGAGGAGAAGAGGAGGAGGAAGAGGAGGAGGAGGAAGGGAGGAGAAGGAGGAGGAGGAGGAGGAGGAGGGAGAAGGAGGAGGAGGAGGAGGAGGAGGAGGAGGAGGAGGAGGAGGAGGAGGAGGAGGAGGAGGAGAAGAAGCAGGGAGGATTAGTCGGGAGGGGCGGCGGCTCGCGCCCCCCACGCCGCAGGATTTCGCCCCAGGCGACCTCATCGGTCGGCTGCTCCAAGGCGGGTCGCCCTCCCGCGCCCGCGTTCGTGCGCGTTCCGATGGGGGCGGCTCGCGGCGTCCAGTCAGGACCCCAAAATAAGGAGCAGCTTGGGTTCGGAAGGGGCTCGACGTTCCGCAGGTCCTTCCATGGCTGGTCCTCCAGCAGTTCTCGGGAACGAAGCCGGTTCTTGGGCCTAAAAGAGGCTTCGTTCCTTGTTTAGTGTTCGTGATTTCAGCGGCCCGACTTTACGCCGTGCCGGCGCGGGCGCTCAAGGGCGAGCATCCGTTTTTTTCTCGGGCCTCCCAGGGGGTCTCTCTTCGCTACTGTGCGCTCTGGGACAAGTCCGTGGGTCGATAGTGGCCGTGTTGCGAGTTCATGTCCTCCCAGCGCGGCGGCAGCGTGGGAGTTGGCGTTCAGGGTCGACGGATCCTTGCGTTTCTGGGGCCTTCCGGCAGCGAAAGTCGTTCAAGGTCTGTCGGCCCGCGCGGTGACAGGAAGCTGCCGCAAACATGTATTGCCTACTCCCCTTCGTCACTTCCCACCGCCAGGAACGCACGCCGACCCCGCTGCCAAGGGGGGATGGAGCGTGGGGCCGCAGTATAATAGGTGAGCGAAGAAGAACATAAACATAGAATTCGGAGGTCCGCGCGGATTAGAAATCCGCGCGGACCTCCGATTTTTTATGTCTATGTCATTTTTCGTTCCCCTATATAAACTTGAATTAGGATCGTGCTCGTCGTCGTCTTGTCGTTCTTTTGCTGCTCATCCCCGTCTTCCTCCTCCTTGTCAGATGCGCTTTCGTGCACCGCCGCCGGAGTCGCTTCTATGTGCGGTGGGATGTCGCTGTGGGGGGCTGGCGGTGTGGCGGGGGGTGGGGCGGGAGTTGCGGGGGGAGCAGGGGGGCGGAACGGGGAGAGAGGGGGAGGGGGAGGGGGAAGCGGCAAGGGAGGGGAGGGGGGTGAGGAGGAGGAGGAGGAGGAGCAGGAGGAGGAGGAGGAGAAGGAGGAGGAGGAGGAGGAGGAGGAGGAGGAACATAGAAATCTCAGGGCACGCTGCATCTTAGCCAGTTGTTCCGTCGCCACGAGTTTTTACAGGGTTTCCTTTTATCTGGACGTGTCGCGTATCCGCACCAGCTTTCTCGGTCACCCCCCCCACCGTGCGGGTTCCTCCCCGACGGTCCCCAAGCGGGGTCCTCTTGCCTACCACGGTGCGCGAGCGCCCACCCGCACCCACCCGCCCGGCACGCGGTCTCGACACCAGCCCCTGACGGTGTCTGGCGATCCGGACTCTGGTCCGTTGAGCGCCTGCATGGGGTTGGTCGATGCCTGCCGGGGCGTAGGACTCGACCGCCACTTGCGTCGGCGGGACCGTTGTCCCTGACGCTGGTCTTCTTGGTAAGTTCTGTCGGTGGTCCACATCATCTGCACGCTTGAGGTGTCGCTCAGCCCGAATTCCCCGCCATTCTGGTGATGCAGCCCGCCTGGTGAAGTTTTTCCCAGTCGACGGCGCCCTCTTCTGAGCGGCAGCGAGGCCCGCCTTCTGTTTGCTCCTCCCCCCGCGTCCTCTCGTCGCTTTCCCCCTTCCCCTGGGCGCAATTAGCTCGTAGCTTGCTTGCTGCGGTCTTTGACGGCGCCCGGCGGCCTCCGGTGCGCTGCTGATGAGGATCATAATGATGATGATGTCGATGATGATGCTGATGCTGAGTCCTGGTGATGGTGATGGTGAGTCTGATGTTGATGATGATGGTATTGATGGTGATGATGCTGCTGCTGTTGGTGATGTTGGTGCTGCTGCTGATGATGATGCGACTGATGCTGATGATGCTGATATTGATGACACTGATGATGATGATGCTAATGATTTTGGTGGTGATGGTGGTTGTCATGGTGATGGTGGTGATGATGACGACGACGATGATGATGGTGATGCTGGTGATGGTGATGATGATGGTGGCGATGAGGGTGATGGTATTGGTGATGACGATGATGATGCTTGTGCTGATGATGGTGATGATGATGTTTTTGAAGGTGGTGATTCAGATGACGATGGTGGTGATGATGATGATGGTGCCGGTGGTGGTGGTAGTGGCAAAGATCCTGATGATGGTGATGGTGGCGACGATGATGATAATGTCGATGATGTTGTTGTTGATGATGATGATGGTGGTGGTTGTGGTGGTGGCGGTGTTCATGGTGGTGGTAGTGCTGGTGACGATGATGGTGGTGGTGATGATGATGGTGATGGTGATGATGATGATGATGATGATGATGATCATGGTGGTGCTCATGATTGTGGTGATGAGGATGATGGTGGCGGTGGTGGTGATGATGATGAAGATGGTGGCTGTGATGGTAATGATGTTGATGGTGATGATGGTGGTGACGATGCTGGTGGTGTTGATGGTCATGATGATGACGGTGATGATGATGGTGATGCTGACGTTGATGCTAAGGTGGTGACGATGCTGATGACGATGGTGGTGGTGGCGGTGGTGGTGGTGGTGACAAGGAGGTTGCTGATGATTATGATGAACATGATGATGATGGTGGTGGTGATGGTGGTGATGCTGCTGATTATGATGATGATGGCGGCTGCTGCGACGACGGCGACGGTGACGAGGACGATGCGGATAGTGCGTATGTTGATGATGACGATGACGATTATGGCGATGTTGTTGTTGATGATGATGATGGTGATGATGATGCTGATGATGATGATGATGATGATGATGATGATGATGATGATGATGATGATGGTGATGATGATGCTGATGATGATGATGATGATGATGATGATGATGATGATGATGATGATGATGATGATGATGTTGCTGATTTGTTGAAATAACCAGGGCTCAATAGGAGGGGATTTCCGGGGGTCACAGGATCATTGCCCTCTGCCCGCTCGGGGAGCGGTATGTGCCGCTGTGCACTCCGCGCGCGCGCAGGTGCCCGAAGGTAGCTAGGCACAGCAATGCGCGCCCTCGACGGGGCGCGCTGACGCCGAATTGTAATCCAGACTAAGTCACCACGGGCACAGACCCAGATCAAGGCAACACTTCGGTGGGGCGAAGCCTCCGTAAGGAGCAAGGCTGCTTTGTAGATTATTTCAGGAGTCGCGAAGACTGTCACGGTGGAGCACATGTACCAGAGAGACACGTCGACTATCTCAGGAATCGTGTAGGCTGTTGCTTAGCAGCACGCGCACCAAGAAAAAACCCAGTCGACTGTCTCAGGGATCATGTAGAGTGTCGCGTAGGAGCACACGTACCAGACCGACACGTACATAATCGCAGGAATCATGTACATTGTCGTGTAGGAGCACGCTTACTGAAATAATACCAGTAGACTATTTCAGGAATTGCGTAGAGAAGCTCCTCGCGTAATCACGCGTACCAGAGGGAGAGCGAGTAGGCTATCGCAGGATTCATGTAGTCTGTCGCGTAGTTGCACACGGCTCAAAGGAGTGAGTTGGCAATCTCAGGAATCGTGAGTTCTCGCGGCAACTCGCTCTCGTGCCACTGAAGGTGACCTTCGAGCCATTCGGTCCACTCCCGCAGCTCCTCCTCCGTGTACCCTGGCGGCGCGCTGCCGCGAAGGTGCTTGCTTCGCTCCGATCTGGCGCAGTCTGTCGAGGAGGCAGAGTCTGCGTTCTCCGAGATTCTGAGCGGCCATGATCAGCCTCCTTTCATCCTCTGCGGCTGTCTTCGCGAGCCTACACGCTCTGACTTGCTGCTCCGCGTCCTCTGCCTTCTCGCGTGCGTGGAAGTCGTCCTTGAGCCTCTTGATGTTCTCTTGATTCCGACCTCCCACCGCTGGTGTGTCGGCGGCCACGTCCAGCAAAGCTCCGAATACCAGCGTGGGTGGGGGCCCCGAGAAATTCTTCTCCCTCTGGGTTCGGTACTCGCTCACGCGCTGAGCGAAATCCTCCTGCTCCTCATGCATCGCGAGCACGAACACGTGGCCATTGGGAGGAACGATTACACCCGCCATCGATCTGATCTTCCGAGTGTTGTTGAGTAGCATCTTGGGAATCGGCGTGGGAAGCTCCCCGAGACCCGAGTCCTTCACCCGGAGGCTCTCCTCCTTCTTGCCTCCCCGTCTCGTGCGCTGTGGTGCCGGCGCCCCTGCCGTCCTTGCTTGCTCAGCGGGTTCGAGCAAAAACACTACTGTGTAGAGATGCTTTGCCTCCCTGTCGACGATGCGGCACCGATGCCGAAAAGGCAATGCAAGACAACGCATCCACCAACCAGCCCCAACCAACCAAACACTAATGATTCGCAGCGCATGCAATGCGCAAGCCGCCTCCCCCCTTCGAGAGAGCTGGTAAACGACTGTTTGTCGCCTACGCTCCATGCGACGCCGATCGAGGAGAAACCTCCGTGTTGCGAGCGCCATGGCTTCACAGCGCGATTTGCTACGCGCTGTACGCCCGCAGCATGCCACTGGCTGCAACACGGCATCGCAGTACGAGTCGAAGGCATCTGCCTGTGCACGGTTGTGCCAGGGATGCGAAAAATGGGAGGCCGCACCCCTAGGATTTGTGGTAGTAGTGTTAAGTCGGGCCTGTCCCTCTACAGGGGGAACATTTAAAAATAGTAAAAGAATAGCCTGGGGACGATTTTTTGAATATTTTCTGACCATGTTGGAGTATTTTTGGGGTATTTTTTTAAAGTTTTCGTCCAACATCCCCCTGTAGGGGGACAGGCCCGACTTTCTAGCAGTGTCATGTGTGAGGAATGCTGACGCACAGTGCTACAAAACTTCTGGATCTCACGGTCGGCGTGCTGCCGCTCCGAGCACAGACGTCGCACGCGGAGCGCCTGAGCGAGCGGCCATGCTCGGTGCACGCCAGCGGGATGCGTGCTGCGATCGCTGAGGGGGATCCACAAAGACGACCGCTCAACATGCATGCGATGGTCCATGAAGCCCGTGGAGGGCCAACGGGGCTCACGACAGAACACGACGTCGAGCATCTGGACCTCATCGGAGGCGAAACTCTGAACGTCTAGCTTGAACA